CACGTGTTGGCAGACGCACGTCACAGTACACAGGTCCAAGCCCGGAGCTTGTTGTGTGGAGATGACTTTGCATCTGCTGGGCATGTGATGGCGAGTTTTCAGCCTGCAAAAGAAAGCTGCACGATGGACGTGCTCAGTTGGCTGCATTCAGCCCCGCCATCTATCTTCTCAGCCATCTCCCAGCTGCTATCCCTGCGGTCTCAGCATGCTGCTGCCAGCGTGCTCTGTGTGACACTTCTTTGCGTGGTGTACCTACTCCAAGCAGTACTGACTGCTGCTCCTTCCCCTCTGTGGAGCATGACCTGTTGCTCAGATGCTTGCTTTTACCACATGTTAAAACCAAAAGGCAATGGGAATAGTCAGGATTGAGCTTTGACCACTGCTTATCCACTGTCTGGCTGCAAGTTACATTTTTCTCTTAATCTCTTTATTATCTATTTTATTCTTCATGTTCCTTCTGGCCGCTTTAGGTATTCAGGCTCTAGCAGGGTTTCAAGGACCTATTTTTAAGATTGGAATAATATTTAGTCGGTAGCTGTTGCCATTTCCCGGCTATATTTTACCACGTGATGGTAGTTTTGTGATGTGGTTTACTGGTCACTGGAAAGTTGACATCACCAAAAGCATTTCATTCACAATCTGAAATTTTTGTGTTGAATTACAGACCTACAAGTGAATAACTGGAATTGTGTGGCGGTGACTTGCGTGCTGTTCTAATTTAATTTTTTGTATCAGCAGTGAAGCCAGTCCCTGCTGAAGGCCAAGGTGCCAAGGCTGCAGGGTCTACTTCAGATTGCCTGAGAAACTGTTGGGTCAGAGCTCAGCCCTGTTGACAAGGGCAAATAAAGCCCAAGCCAAGGAGCCGTAGAAATATTGTAGCAGTACATTAAGTATGGCTAAGAATCTCAAAAGCAAGTCGTATGGGTATGTTCAGGGCCCAGAGTTCAACTAACAAGAGGCGTGCAAGGCCAGAGCCACCTGAGTTTGCTCTCCCATAGGTAGTTTGGGTTGGCAGCACTAAATGGAGAAAGAATGTGCTTTGCTCAGTGAAATGATGGGAGATATCTTGAATGCTTTCCAGAAAAAACCACGCTGAGCACAAAGGTGTCATCTTGAGGTAGATTGGCTTTGGCGTGTCCCTTTACATCTCAGCTTTTCTAAACTAAGATTATCACTAATGAGCAGTCCCCATTAAGGCCTCAGGTTCTTGTTCAGAAATGACATGGGAAAAAGGCTGTGGAAACCCCCGAGCTTGTTCTTCCAGATTTTTTCTTTTAAAAGAAAGAGGCCCGTGCAACTTTATCTTCTCCGAAATGTCCGTCTGAATATTCATCTGAGTGAGAAAGTAATTTTAGCATCCATGACACACAGCTTCTGCTGTCACCCGATTGCTCAACAGCACCGAGAATAAATATTTCCGTAAGCCCGAGGACAGGAATCTGAATGCTTCTGGTTCCCCTTTCAGAAGCACCTGTGTGTGTGTTTTTTCAAGGCCCAAGTAACATGGCTGTGCTTTGCAGCTGACTCATTGAAGTTCTCCGACCCTACGAGCACAAGCACACTCTTGCTTAGCATTCTTTTCAACAAATAGGAGGAAAAAAGGGCTTGGCACTAAAGTACAGTCCTCCTGCAAACCTTGACAGGAGCATGCATGTTTCTCCAAGGAAGTCAGTGGTGCTACTCATGTGCTTGAAGGTAAGCAGGTGTTGGCATGCTTTACCAAACAGCCTTTGACAATGCGCTGAGCCCAGAGGATATGTGTTGTTTTTTTTTCTCTGGATTCTTCTCCTGTTGGGTATTCTTGTCTTATTCTTCTGAGGAAGTGTTTATCACGGCTGAGGAGGGAAAGGACCACCAGTGTTCTTCCAGTTCAGCCCCTGTTCTAGCAGGACCCCCTACTGCAGGCTGCCCAAAACCAATCAAAAGAAGAACAATTAACTTTATTTAGGAATTGGTACAAATATGTGTGCTTTGCACACATTTTAAGTGACAAATTAAATGTGCAGAAGATACCTAGGCCATTTTAAAACATTCATTCGCATCTTGTGGTGGTATTTACTGCAAACATTTACCAATAGTGAGACTTAAATGAATAACCAGCTTGGGTTTTCTTTGTTCTGTGTGATTACTTCAGATGAGGTTGGCATCTTTGCTTTCACCGAGGCCCCTTCTTTAAAGAGAAGAGCACCACGATGTCAAAATCACCATTGCCTGGGCAAGCTTAAGACTTTGGACACTTATTTCTCTTTCCTGCTTCACCACTCATTTCCTGTCACCTTTCGAAGCTAGCTGGCCTCTGGGCCAGAGTTCCTCCTCAGTGAAATGAATTGCACTTCCTTGTCTCAGATGGACGCTGTGGCTGGGAATGCATTGGTGCTGGTGGAGCATCAGCCCATCGTGCTGCTGGCAGCACGTGTGCTTAGTATTGGATTCTTGCACCCTCCAGAAAGCTGATGTCCTGTTTGACACTGCCCTGCAGTCCTCTGGCAGATGATTGGACAAGGAACAACCGAACTTCAATGGGGCCCTGTTAAGAAAAGGCTCCGAGATCACTGGATCTACCCAAAGAAAATGTGAAGGTTCTGTTGTTTCCATTCCCATCTTCTCCATGCTCTTCTTTCACACTCAGCAGGTCCAGCCAGTCTTTCACCTTTGTGAGCTCAGAAGGGAGTTAACAAATGGACACTGATAGCTTTGTCTTTACTTCATTGAGATAAATAAAAGAAGGAATAGTGCGGCTTTGTAAATGCATCGCCTTGTCTCAAAAGGGGAAGGACGCTGTCGCAGAGGATAATGCTCATTGACACAGAGCTTAGATTTATGCAGCTGCAGCTGGGAGTATTTTGCAATAATTGCCCTCTTCATGCTACGAAGCAGGAAGGTCCAAAGCAGTTTACAAAAGGTAGTGAGCAATTAGCATATGCTCCTGGCCTCCGCGCAGGGAGGTTGCTTGTTCTTTTCAGGATGAGTGTTGGTTCTCAGAAATTATTCCAAGCCCTTCTGCTGAATGTCCTTCAGCAGATTTGCATATCCTTCCTTAAATGGGACAACTTTGCCCTGGTTTGACACTTCAGTTTTTAGCCTTTTCTTCTAAAGAGGAACTTTCAAACTGGGGCAAACAAGGAAGAAAAGAACGTTCTGTTGATAAAGCAAATGGCTGCATCCATCCTTGGTCTCACTGCTTTTCTTGGCACTTCAGACTGCTGTGAATAGGAATCGATTGCTCAAGATCTTCTCTCTGCTGCTCAGGGAAGCAGCATAGTGTGAACCCCATTCTGTCGAGCTTGCATTACTGGAGCATTTCAAGAGTGTCTCCAATGGTGCTGAGCAGCATCTCCATTCAGCTGCCAGCCTGGCCAGCTTTCTGTTCATAGATCACCTGTTGCTTCACCAGCACTGGTTGTTGCCCTGGTAATTGGGAAGATGAACAAGGTGGCTGTCAGGAATAAAGCAGAATGAAAGCTTTTGAGAGTATGGAAGTGCTTATTTATGTTATGGTAGGTGATGCTTTTGTGTGTAGTGTTGTGCAAACATGAAATGCAATCTTTGTTCCAGAAAATGTATGATCTGATCAAAAAGCAAGATACTGCTAATAAGTGAGAAGAAAGAGGCAAGGAAGCAATAAGACAAAAGAAGTGTCCTTGCAAGATTGAACTCTTAATTTCACATGGGATCATTGTAGTGATAAAAAATGGCTATAAGATGTTAATAAGCTGTAAAAGTATGAAAACTGAAAAGCTCTGGCTTGAGGTACTTACTCTGTTTCAGGCACAGTTTTGGTAAATGCAAGTCATGCACCAGCTTATGGCTCAAACTCCAAGCCAGGAGGTGGTGTTTTAAAGAAAAAAAGTCATCGTCTTTCATCAGTTTTAAGTCACAAGACCTGTCCCAGCATTAGAAGATCAAGATGCTTGGAGAAAATAGTTTATATTCAAGATACTACAGTTGATGCGATTAGAAAAGGAAGAAAGAGGAGAGGAAAAGACACGGAGGAAACCAGGGGAGAGCAATAAGTAGTGGAATAGAAGCAATTATCAGTAGGCACAGTACTTTTATGCACTATTAGACAGCCAAATCTCTTGCTGAGCAGCAGCAGAAGTCCTGGTGCAGCTTTTTCCAAGTAAAAAATTGAGTAAATGAGATTTTAATAGCGGCATTCAACCATACTGAGTAATTTCTTGCTATGAGCTGGTTTGGAGTCATTTTACCAATTGGAGGATCACCAGCTGGATGTGAGGTGTTGAAGTTGCCTGGAGCACCAGTGCCAGGAGACTCCCAAAGCAAGGGCCTCACGTGTAGCACTTCCACCTGGTTTATTTGGGATGGGTTGTGTTGGATTTTTTGGATTTGGAGAGGAAAGAAGGCTGTTGGCTTAGTTTGTATCGCCTTGGTGGTGGCTGCCTCAGTTAAATGAGGTCACCTCTACAGAGCATCTTGGGAACCATAAAAAGCTGCAGAATTAAGGTCTGGCATTTTCTGGGACTAGCCAGGAGTGTTGTGTGTTCTGGTGGGAAGCCGGGAACTTCTTGAACTTCTTCTTTTCGAAGGGTGTAAATAATTCACCGTATTTGTTTGCCACATGCCATATTTCAAAACTGTCAGTGATCCAGGTCTTGATCTGGGGTCGTATACGTGGAAGGGACCATAGAATTATGTCAACACCTTTTTTTGTTTGTTTGTTACAATTGTCTTGAAGTCATAGGTTCAAAATAATTGAGTATTGTAAAAAAAAAAAAAAAAAAAGAAAGATTAAATAGCATGCCAAAAGTTTGTGACAATTGCAGGATTGTGGTATGATTGATTTATCACCTGGCTGTATTCCATGTTGTTGTCTACAAAGAACCTTTGAAGTCATAAATGTTTAATGCTTTACTGCTCGGCTACAAAATGCTACACTGGAGAAATTTTTTGCTTCTCTCTATCAGCACTGTGATGAGATAGGTGTGAAGCTTTCCAGGTATATTGGGTCTCATGCCCTCTCTGTCTTTTCTCCTCTCCAGTTGTCACTACAAAGCACTCTGCCATGTGACAGTGAACAACACTATGAATACTCTGGACGGTGCTGCAAGAAATGTGAGCCAGGTATGTGAGTGCTGGGCTGTACTGCCTCACTAATTGAAAAGCTCCTTAGAAACAGCTCTGGAGGTCAGTAAGGCGACTTGCTCTCGTGAGCTTCACAGATGTTTCAGTGCCACTCTGATTCCTCACCTGAGTGAGGAAATGAGTGGAGCAGGAGGAAGAAATGGTTGTCCCCAGTAGCACAGCAGTGTTAGCCTATCTCATTTTTCCTCAGATTGCTCAGAGAAATGCTGTGCAGCTTGCAAATTATCTGCTTGTCCTTCTCTCCTTCACAGGAAAGTATATGTCTGCTAAATGCACTGAGACTTCTGACAGTGTGTGCCAGCCATGTGGCCCCAATGAGTATATGGATGTCTGGAACGAAGAAGACAAATGCTTGCTACATAAAATATGTGATCAAGGTGAGCTGTTCATACTGGAGAACTTTTTAATCCAAATTAGTGAAGCATGAGATGGGCAAGTGGATCTAGGGAATATCCTCCTTTTGGGTGCGTGGCAATGAGTGCTGAGCTTGCACAAGAACCTGGTGGATGGGGAAGTCCCCAGACACCAGAGGGTTTTGCTCCTATGCTCTGCTGAACGCTGCATATATGGTCTTCATGATGCTGAAAAGATTATCTTCAGTCAGGCCATTCACTCCCTGTGAGTTGGATCTTAATGTCCTTCTGCCCAGCATATTTTGCACTCACTTCTGCCCTTGTCTCACTCTTGCAAAAGCTCTGTTTATTTTCTACAGGAGCTACAAGGAAAAGTATTGCTCAGGAGCCCAATCAGTGAGGCTGATCAATGGCCTCCCACGCTTCTTGAAAGATCCCTCTAACATGAGTGGTTTCACCTCTGGCATTCGAGCAAAGCAAATAGGTAGAACAGGATGTAAACTCAAGGCTTGTTATCAGAGAGATATTTACTGCCATCTGCTTTCTCTTCTAGGGAAGGCTTTGAAAGAGGTGAACCCAGGAAACAGCACGTTCCAGCGGCAGTGTGCCTGTACCACAGGTTACCACTGGAACGAGGACTGTGACTGCTGTCAGCGAAACACCATTTGTCCTGCAGGGTTTGGAATTGGGCATCCTGGTGAGATACAGAGAGGGGACATACAAATGAAACATCCAATCTCTGGCCTACACTGTGTGGGTTGTGACATTAAAGAGTAGCTACTGTAGACTCTCAGACCATTACTACTGTGTGTAACGCTCCAGGACTATTTGCATTTGAAAGGCTTCTGCCTTTGTAGTTAAAGTAAAATCTTGAATCAAGTGAGGTTTGCCAGCTTTAACATGGGCATGGCAATAACAGCAAGGTCTTCAGTGCGTTTCTAATGTTTGCTGAGGTGCCTGACTGTGGATCATTAATTTATGCATTGCCCCCAGCTTCAAAGAAGTGATCCACTGCTGGTTGTTGCTGCGGTCAGATTTGAAATCAGTTTTTGTCAAATGGCTTTGTTTTGCCATTCTATGAGGTTATGAGTTAAAAGCAATAAACACCTCTAAGGTAGCGCAAGCGCTCCTTGCTTTAGATGACATGCAATGCAAAAATTTATTACGGACATGCGATTTAGTCCCACATCTGACAGAAAAGCAAAATGCAGGTATTTTGTGGGTGGAAAATGGAGATGGTTAAGTTCAGGGTTGTAATGGACACTGGGAACAGCTACATCACTGAAAATTCAGCACACAGTAGAGCAGTAGAGGACGAAATGCTGCATGGGCTTGGAGCAGAGTGGTGGTGTTTTTCCTGCAATCTAGCAAACCGTGATACAGAACTTTGTTCACTGTGGCTTCACAGAAGTGACAACATCAGTTAACGTCACTGCCTGTGCTGTAGCACTGACAAGAGGAAGTTAATGGAAGAGGACTCGTATGAGAGCAGTGTATTATTTTGCAATAACTGGAAATGGTGCCTGATCATTTTTTATTCTGATCGTGCAGGGGAATGTGCTCCTCTCACCTGAGCACTTTTTTCTGCCTATGTGTGACTGTCACTGTTGCTTTATTATAATTTTAGATCCCTCTATCTTCAGGGAAGCTTTTGGGGTGGGAGTGGAGTGGGAGGATGGGGGAACATAGTCACCTTCCCCTCACTTGGAAAGAACTCACAGAAACTCAGTGGTGATGTTTTTCTTCCTCTGCTACACACAGTGCAACAAGATAAGGACACAGACTGTATGCCATGTCCCAGAGGCTACTTCTCAGAGGTTGCTTCATCCACTGATGAGTGTAAATCCTGGACCAAGTAAGTTACTTTGCCTTCCAAAAAGCCTATTACAGCCACAAGGCAGTGAGAAGCTTGAGCAAACACACTTTTCAGTGGAGTGTCTCTGCTTCTCTGTGGCATTTATAGAGCATGTCAGTTGGCTGGATAGAGATAAGGGCTTTCTCATGTTGGATCTCAAGTCTTTCTGGGGTGGAGAAAGACAGCTAGGACAGCAACTGCTGAGTTGACATAGATGAAGATAAAGAAGGTGTCTGAGCTTCAGGATGGAGAAATGCGAGAGTACTTTACAGCAGAAAGTATTACTCTGCAGAAATGTAGGAGCCACAGTGAGCTCTGTCTTTGGGATTCTAGCTTCTTTGTCTTTCCTTTTTAGCTGTTCAGCTCTGGGATTGGCAGAAATAGTCCCTGGGACTGATAAATCGGATGCAGTTTGTACAAAGCAGAAGATGGCTGAGCAACCAGAATATGGTATGTGTCCTCATAGGGCTTATCTATTAGGAAGTACAGGGAGGAGGAATATATGTTCACTAGGGTTTTTGGCTGGCTTAACTCCTTTCCCACTGTGGATGAGTCAATGGGAATCAGCTGTAAACCACGACAGAGCTCTTGTGAAATCTTACCTTTAAAGCCTAGCAGCTCTAGGGCCCATGCCCAGTGCTAAGCAGTGCTTCTCACTTCTCTCTGAATCTGCATGGTGAGCAGTTGCTATTATACATCCATCATTTTTCCATCACATTTACTGCTCTTTCATTTGTCAGCCTGCCAGTTTCTGTACACGTTAACAGAAAGGCCATTGACTTCTTGTGTCTCCTGCCTAATGTTCCCTTCTTGCCAGTTGCCCTGTTCTCTATCCTGTGAAGCATGCAGCGATTCTTAGACGAAGACAAAATTCTGCTGGCTGAATTCTGTAGCTTCCACAAGCTATGTGTCTCTCTCATCTTGAGACAGAGTAAGCACAGCCCATAGGCTGCTGGTGGATTGCAAGAAAACTTTCAGAGGATTGTGGCTGAGTCATACCACCCTCAGACACTAAGTAGTGAGATGGCTCTGTACCATGTACCTTTAATGAGACTGGTTGTCACAGAGCTCCATAAGTGCTAGAGTGTGGTCCTTATTATAGAAACTGAAAATCAGTTAGGAAGAACAAAACTGCTCTCCTGTGGAAAAGCAAGTGACAGGAGCAAGGATTGTCATACTGCTGAGAACAGCAACATGTTGATGGTATAATCTTTCTCATACCTTACAGGAACAAACAAGATCTTGTATGTGTTGATTGTCATCTTGTTTTTTGTGGCACTAATTGGCATTGTCATCTTCATCGTATACTACAAGAATAAGGGGAAGAAGCTGACAGGTACATGATAGCTAATGTTATGTGTGAATGTGACACCTACGTGTCTATTTGTGCACTCTGTTTTGACAGGTACCCACCAAGATATGAAACTCAGGAACTTTTTTTGAATTCCTGTCCATATGGATGTCTTGACTAGCACAAAGCTGGGCCTGAAAATCTTTCCTATAGGCAGGAGTATGTTACACCTATGCATAATGCATCTTGCTCAGCATCTTCCTGCAGCTGTACCAGGAAGATGAGTGCTTTGAGACTGGATGTAGCCACAACATGTATGATGGAGGAGTGGGGGAGGTTTGTGTATCAGCATGGTAACTTTGCACTGCCTGGCACAGAAGAGGAAAGCAGGGGGAGAGTAACATAAATAGTAAATATATATATATATAATCTAGCAAAGATACACTGGATAACATTGGATTTTTGAGTATATTGTGACTAGGACAGAAAAATTTCCTGCAGTAACTCGAATCTGTGTTAAGATGTGGGTCTTCACAGTTAAGAACATAGTCTTAGTGTTCTTTTCATTTTTAATTTTCTTCCCCTAAACATGGAAAGCATTTCCTGCCGTATTTTTCCCTCGATCTCCTTTCCTAAGCCCCAGAAATCAATGAAATGTTTTGGGAGCAGTAGAAGGGAAGGCAGCAACCCTTGTAAGGTATTTTTCAGCCCATGTTTTAGAAATATGCTGCCTCTACCACACTAAACATGGGTTGTGCTAAATCTGGAATTCCTGGGATGGGCTGAAGGAAATGGTGACTCTCCTTGCAAAGCAAATACTTTTGATGCACAGCAGGTTAGGGGAGAGTGCTCTTTACTTAACATTCCTATTGACCTGGTGCTCTGCAGTGACAGTCCTTCATTGCCTTTGCACAGTAGATCCTAATTAGAGTACCAGAGACTTGCAGGCTCAAGAAGAAACTCTTCCTCAGTCTGCCTTTGGGGACTGATTATAAACGTGCAGACCTGACATCAGAGGTACAGAGTCATTGCTGGGAAGTGACAGGGCTAAGTGACTTATCTATCTTTAGATATACAAAAACCAGTGCAAGCTTAAAGCAAAACTTAAGCCCTGCACAATCTCCTGAAAGCATAAATAGCAAGAAGAATTGCTGTCTCTATAAAACAGCTTTAAAGCATTATTCGACTTGAAGATTTTCCATGGGAGATACTTTGATAAACTGTGTTTCCTAATTAAGTACATCCCTGTTACGTGGAATGCTATACTTGAGACTGCCATCCCGTGGTTTCAGTGGCTTACCCTCTTCTCTCCAGTCTCCTCACTCCTGTCTGGGAATGGTCTTTGTGCCATCCATGTGACTTCTCTTGAAATAGACTGCACCGTTCTAAGTGGGTCGGTATCGGGCCAGTCATAGTGTGGTGACATATGACAAGGAAAGAAACCCCATTTGATGTGGAACACAGTTTAACGTGATCTATCTTAGGAGCTTGGAAACATTTGTTCCACAGAGATACATCCCTGTTCCAGTTAGAATGAATCCTCAGACAGCCTGATGCTGGGACACTTGAACAGTCAGTAAAAACAGTCTTTCTGGTTTTCATTTACTATAATATTATGGGTCGTGAATGACTGTGGGTGTTTAGGTCTGTGGCTAGTTTCAGTGCCTGCTCTGTGTTACAGCTACTCTTTCGTTTTCCCTACAGCAGATCTACAGAATTGGGCTAACGAGGTGTGCAGCCAAATGAAAGGAACAAAGGTAAAGTCAGGGGCACTAAGATTTTCCCTCTGTTTTATGGTTTCCTCAAAACATTCCTGACACCCCTCCTTACTTTAGACTTCATATTAGTGTTTGGCTAGAAAACAAATCTGGAGTTTCTCAAAAGCCACTTACAGCTTTGGCTTTTTTAGTCTGTTTTTCTGTAAATGTGAGGCTTATGAAATCAAGATTCTCAAATAGCTTCTGAACCTGCTCTTTGGTTTCAGCCATCTTTAACAGTAGTAACAGTCTCTGTGATGATTAAATTCGTTAGAAGATAAAGTTGAACGTGAGCCCATGCTACTGAACACCTGAGACTCTCACCTAAGGGAGAGCCGTTCTGAATTCTAAGGCTGGGAAAAACTAAACATGAGTTGCATGCTTTTACATACCAGAGTCCTCATGGGAGAGAGACCTGGATTTGGTGCGACACCAGGAATGCTGAACACTCAAGGAACTAAGAACAGAGCCATCAGCTAAAGGAAATGGCCAGAAGCCCCTTTAATTCTGTCAGTCACTGAAAAACCTCGTGTGTGAAGAGCGTATGACCTTCCAAAGGATTTTGCTCTGAAACAGCCTCAGATGCCCTTGCTTGAAACTCTTGGTTGGGAGCAAAGATTCGCATGCGTGTGCACTGTCTGACTGACATCAGGGGCACGGACTGAGGTCCCCTAGCTCCCACGTGCATGCTCTTCCATTGCCCCACCTGCCAGTCTAAGAGCTCTGTCTAGCTTAGATGTGGTAACACTCAAGTCCTGTTGCTACAAAAAAGAAAACAAACCCAGCAGCTTTTTGAGCAGGCAGTTCCTCTTTTGTCTCATAAATGTTCTTGCAATGTCCTGCACTGGCAGCTGCTCAGATCCTCTGGGACAGAAGAGTGAATCAACAGCAATTAGTGGCTGGCAGCATTTACTTTGTGTCCTCCACTGTGGAGGAAGGGAACAGATGCTAGAAATGAAAGGTAGCGGTTCCCAAATACCCATCATTATGCATGACTGGCAGGAACTGAAGGGAACCCTTGAAGTATTTCCCAAATCTTTATTTTTTATGGAGCTTCAACCAAAAATATAACTTAACTGTAAAAGTATTGGCAAAATGATGTCACAGGCATTTGCAATTGTTGTCTTAAAGTATTCGAGGTTAAAGCAACCTTGTCTGTTTGACTTCTATTTTTCTAGCATGTCTCTGAATCAATCCAATATTTGAATCAGTTATTACTACTATTACTATTTTATGATTACTAATAAAGATTTTGCTCATGGTGAGGTCTTCACAGATCAACAGCCCTTCAAAAACGTAGATTATTCAGAGGAGTTACAAACCTTTTAAGCAGTTAGGTAGGTCTAACCAGTGTCCACAAGAAACAGCAGAATCCAGCAGCCCTTCTAGATTTATTAACTCTCAGGTGCTCTGTTGACTGGTTGGACTTGATGATCTTGAAGGTCTTTTTCAACTGAGATGATTCTGCGATGCTTGAGAGCTGGCCAACTCTATTATCCGAGATTATGTTTTATCGAATCCAGCAATGCTACTCAATCCCACCAGCTCCACGCTGAGGAAGCGTTAAGGCACGCCCACTTCTTCTTCGTTCAGAAAACAACCTTCAACCAGTTCCTTTATTAAATACAGCTTTATTTCAACTTTCTTTCAGGAGCCATCCAGAGATGCCTACGTTACTGTAAATATAACGAACAGCACCGTCCCGCGGCTCTCCGAAGACGTGCGTCTCCTGGGCCCTGCTGGCTCCCCTGCCCCCGGGAGCTCGCCCTGTGCTCAGCCCACGTGCAGGCACGGCAGCCCAGGCACGGCACCCTGCAGGGCTGGGGGAACCTTCCAGGAGATCTCCGTGGGGACTGAGACCGATGATGACCATTTCTCCCCCGTTCCCACAGAAGATGAATATATGGATAAAGATCTCAATACTGCCGATTATTTACCTTTACTGAGTCAGCCTGACAGTAAAACTTTGTCACTGTTTTCAGAACCGGTGGAGATAGGGGAGAACGATAGCTTAAATCAGTGCTTTTCAGGGATCGGGAGCACAGAGGATGTGTCCATCCCTCGGGGCTCTGACCCTTCCTCTGGTGCAGATGGTGTACATGCCACCATGGACAAATACCTCCAGAAATCTTGCCAGCATTCCCATGGTTGCCCAAAGGAAATTGACAGCAAAGACACAGATCGTTTCGCAATGAACCGTGACTCAGAGAAGATCTGTGTGAGATGTGGCATTTCATACAAGGAGACTCCCAGAAAGGGGAGCAGACCCTGCTGTGCTGCAGTTGTTGGTGCCTCCACCTCCCCAGAAACTGGATGCTACGCACAGTGCACCTGTGGCTTGAATTTTCCCTCTGCTGGTCAGAGCCCTCTAGCAAGTGACCATGGTATGGAAGATGTGTCTTCTGATGGTACCAACACAAAGTACCAGAACACAAACAGAAGCACTTCAGGGACAAACAGCAGCACTTCAGACCTCCCTCCAGCATCCGGTAAGCCCATGGGGATTGGCCTGTACACAGTTGTGTAGGGTTAACTTCAGTGCTAATTTGGTGTTGTTCAGAAGGTCTGATGTGGGAGAAGGGAAAAATGAAATGGTGCTTTTTTACTGAGTTGCCCTGAAGCTAATCTGAAAGACAGAAGTGAAATAGGATGGCCACTTGGTTTACAGTGAATTTCACATGTAGCATGAGCACTATGAGGGATCTCTGTAGGGGACTAAGAAAGAGGAGAGAATAGTGACCAAAAGGCTGAAGTGAGAAGAGATGCACAACTCTGAAGGGCATGTTTTCATTCTGCAGCCTGCATGTGCATTTTTGCCCTTTCCATTAGGTTGCAGTCCAGTTACAGTCACATGGTGGTCCATGGAACCGGCTGCAGCTGTAACCTGCTGGTCATGGTTGGGTCTGAGAGACAATGATCAATATTTTGCTTTTAGCTCTTTCTCTTTGTTTTAAATTGCTAATGTATGCAATTTATATTTATACATATATAATATATAATATATAAACAGAAGTAGGTGAATTTTGTGATTCACTTAAAAATAATTTCATATAGACATTTTTTCTCTAAATATTAGCACTCGGTCTCTAAACAACTTTGAAACACCGATGTCTCCAGTTTTCTAATTGGCTCCCAAGTTACTGGTTCAAGGAATATGGCAAAATAGTTGAAATGAAAGCAGGGATAAAAACCACCAAAGAAGGCAAGTTATGAGCCTTTTCTGGACGAAACTTACGTCTCTTTTCTTCATTATTAAAAGCCTGCAATCTTTTTGTCGTATCTTATTAGCCATTCAAGATGATAATCTCCTGAAGACGGATGCTCTGTTTTCATTTGCCTGTGCACTGCCAAGCATAATGGGACCTTAGTTTTGTCTGGGACATCTGAGTGTTACTGTAATGCACACAGCGATCATCAGCAGTTGCCCTTCTTTAAAACCACATCATGCCTTAACGTTTCTTATGCAGACATTCTTGTTAATCTGCCAAAGACCAAAAGTGACACTTTGAAGACCCGCAAGTGAAATTTTGAAGGCCCTTCCCTTCTAAACATACAGTGCGGTGCAGGAATCTCATAATGTGCAATGATCTTTCTAAGAGCAGACACTCTTTCTACTGCTTCAGTTTCCTGAAATCTTTAAGCAGTTTCACTGCTTGATGTGTACAAAAGTCAGAAGTAGCAAAGAAAGATGGATTTTATTTCTGTGGAAGGTGACTGTGTGGTACTACTGAAAGTCAAGTCATATCTGGCACTGCAGAAGTACTGCTTTTCTTTCTGAATCGCTCGAGAAGAGGAAGAGAAAATAGTAAGGAACAAGAGGGCAAGCAGGTTTAAGTGCTTGCAAATGCTATCTTCACTCTGCACCATAATTCTTTATATATGATTTTCACTGTGTCAGTACCTTTGGCTGTGTACTTGCTGTCATGCTATCTAGTGAAACCTGAGCATAGATGGAGAGTTCCTGGTTCACCCCAACCTTGGCATAACTGCCTGGAGGTGCTGGCTGAGTCGCAGGCAGTGAGAGTGTGGGTTTAGTCAGGATGGAGCTGATGTGCCTTCTGGAGTGGCCTTGTCTGCCTGTAGCGTGGTGGGTGCCCTGGTGTGGCACTCTCCAGCTCATTCTGGGGCTGCTGGTGGAGCTGTGGTGGTGTAAAGCATTTTGCTGGGCCTTGTGAAATGCCCAGGTGCAATAAATATGCACACGTAACAAAGCTTCTTCAGGCAGCTACTTTGGATGCAGCTGTGCTAAGGCAGAACCGTATGAAAGTGGGTGGATGAAAAAATGGGAAGAAAAATGATGTGGGTAATTCCATGAACTTTTGGTTTTAGTTTCTTAGTACTCAGAATGACAAGGGAAATTGCAACATCTGCCCCTGATGTGAAATAACCCTAGAAGGACCAAAGCAAACCCCTGGACAGGTGTCATTCAGGCTTCATGGATAGTAATTGATAGGAGCCTTCAAGCACCTTTCAGATCTCGCTGAGCCTGGAAGCAGTCAGAATGTGGAGCATTGGATCATGGCCATCTCAGACCTTGTGCAGGACTTCAGCATCAGGCATGAGTGGTGGAGGACTTCAGTGACTCATGGCTAGGGATGGCTTTGCAGAGCCTTCACATTCACAGCCCACACCATCCCAGCTCAGCTACAAGAAGCAACATCAGATGGCTCTGAGGAAATTAATCACTTGCATTGTTCCAGTTCCTAGCAGATAATTACCACAAAAATATATCTGTTTTTGTAATTAACATCATCAAGAGATCGAAAGGCTGAAGTGTTGCAGGCAGCAAAGCCTTCATTTATCCTCTGAAGGAGTCCTTTATGTTATCTGATTGGAGGCACGTTTCTTAGTGCAACTCAGGAAGTTCTTGTGTCCATTTGCTCTTCTTAATCTTGTACGGAGCTCAGGTGAACTTTTACAATGCCTTTTTTGAGTGAAAGGCAGTCCATGCAAAGGCAAACAGGTATTGGTGTAGCCCCATGGTGCCTGACACAGTTGTGTTGATGGCAAGCAATTAACCTGAACACAGGGGAAGCACCTAGGAGGGAAAAATCCCTGTGGAAAGCACTCAATTGACACCTCGTGTTCATCAGCAGTACTTGGAAAGAAAGCAAAGAGCCAGCGGTGTGATGGTTTAGCTGAAATAAATAGGATTGCTTGAGGGGAGCTGTTAGAAAGATGCTCCAGTACTGCCTAGGCTTGGTTGGGTATCGCATGAGGTCTTCACTCAGCTCTAGTGAAATCCAGTGGTGTATAAACAGCACCTGGGGATGTGAGCAGCACTCTCGGCTGCTGGAGAAACAGCACTTCTCTGGGCTGGGCCATGCTCAGTGCCTCTCATGTCTAGAAAAGCATTAAGAAAATGACCAAAATATCCCAAGAGATTCATGGTCAATCTGCAAGTTGTGATTAAGTGAAGCTCAGTGGGGAAAAAAGCATTTATAAGGAGTGGTGTTCATAGGCTTTGAGAGTTTCTCTTTGGTTTGGTCGGTTTTATTTCATTCTGGGGACGTTTGTTAGTTTGTCATTTAAAGTTTGTTCTTGGATATTTTCTTTCTGTTCTGAGAGAAGTTTGTTAATTCCACAGCCTGGTCCTGCTGTCACTTGAGTCAGTGACGCAGTCCTTGAATTACAGAAAGATTGAATAAATACTGAAAATTCTCTGACTACAGGGAGACTTGCTGAAACCATAACACTGTTGGGTTGCTGTGTATAGATTGTTCCCTGTAGCAGGCTGTATCCCAGTAAGTCCATGTGGGCACAGGGGGAGTGCTGGGATGTGCCTGTGTGGGAAAGCAGACAATGCAAGGTAATCTTACAAGCTCCATTCAGTGTGACTGCAATGGCCTGACGTTAAATCTTTCAGCATTTATTGATTAAACTTGCTGTTTTGTCTGCACTCTAGGAGTGATCACGTACCAAGGGGGAAAACAAGATACTAATAGCTGTTTCCTCACTAACTGGAGGCAGTCTGCGAGTAGCTCATGTGTCCAGAGGCAGTGGGAGGATGAGATTATCACGCTTTCTCGCTTGTGGCAGTGCAGCATGTAGGGACAGCTTTCCCAGATGCCACAGACAGCCCCCCTGAAGCAGCAGGCTTCATCCTGAGGAGGCACAAGTGGAAATCGTGGGAAAGCCCCATGGAAGGCATTGATTATGAGAGCATCCCTATGTCACGGGGAAAAAATCATGGAACAAAAGCAAAGCTATCGCAGCGGATTGAACTCACAGTGCTAAACATCCTCCTCATGAGAGAAAATATTAATCATGCCTGTCTTTTTTTCTCCCCCCTCCTTCCCCAGGAAATGTGACTGGAAATAGTAACTCCACATTTATTTCCAGCGGACAAGTAATGAATTTCAAGGGAGACATCATCGTCGTCTACCTTAGCCAGAACTCCCAGGAGGGAGCTGTGGCCTCTGGAGCAGCCGAGGAGAACGTCAGCAGCCCAGTGCAGGAGGAGAACGCCAGCCGCTGCGAGACCTTCGCCGGCAATGCTCAGCACTACAAGGAGAAGTGCGCTGAGCTGCACGCCAACATCCCTGTGGGCAGCGGCGGGACGCGGCACCACACAGCCCCAGTGCCAAGCCTGGCCCGACACAGCGAGGCCTCACCGCCCGTGCAAGAGGAGGGCAGGCTGGGGCACAGCTCGGAGAAGGTGTTGAACTGATGTGAGACACCATCCCACGAGGGGTCGTCCCCAGATCCCGGTTGCTGGGACAGATTTGTTTCTTCCGAGAGCGCTGCTGGCCCCGGGGTCCTCCAGGAGACTTGGGATTGGGGGCCAGGCCCTGCGGGCTGCCTGTCTCCTCAACGGGGTGGCAAGTTCTCCATGACTTTCCCAAACAGCAGCGAGGGACGGCTGAGGGAAACTCAGGCTGGGGGACTTGGCGAGAGGGAGGACGTGGATCACCAGTAGTCGTCCCCTCCTGGAGAGGGGCAGCATGCTGGAAGGGGCTCCAGACCAAGGTATTTTTTTTTTACTGGGTGGGAATTGCAGTAGCTCTGTAGGTGATCCCTCTCACTGGGACTTGAGTCATCCTCGATACCTCCCATGAGAGAAGGAAGCAATGGCCACCTCTGCTGCTGAGCTTGGTGCCCACCTGGCAGGGCAGGGATGGAGTAGGTTGCTTCAGCCCTTCTATCAAAATGTAGCAGGAGCTCCAGTCCTAAACCAGCACAACAGTCAAGATCCTTGCCTGCCCCTTGCTAACTTGTGAGTGTGAGTTGGTATAGCACTGCCTTGGGTTACAGTAACAGGCAAATTAGCACTGATATGCCTTGAAAGTGCATCAGATTAATCCTGAACAAGAAGCATTTTTATAGTTTTGAACCCTGATTCACTGCCACCTTACTGCATCTCCTCAGAGGAACACAAGCCCCTGCAGCTGAAGATGAACGGCTAGCAGGTGAAGGAAGGATCTAGGACAGCTAGCTGCAGACATTTCCCAAGTGACAGGAGAGGGAGGGATTGCCTGAAGATGGAGAGTTTGCTGAGGGTCAGGCACATGTTCCTTCATCTGCCACAACAAATTTGTCATTCCCGTTGATCTTTTCATTTATAAGCAGCGCTTTGTTTAGGCAGCGTGAAGCGATTTCCAGAGCTCAGCCTGTCTGAGCTGAAATCACTGTAACCACTGTCACACTTAGAGCTGTAGGACCGAGGGATTGGATTCAAAGAATAATAGCGATTGTTAGTAGAGTCTCAGCTACTCAGGTGGCTTTGGTTCAGATCCTGTATCCTTCAGCCTCCTCCACCAGCCGCTGGGGAAAGGTGAAGGGAAAAGAGCCTCAGGGAACCCCCAAGAAGAAATCATGGTATTTTTTACATTTCCTGACCAGGGGTAATTTTCTGATGTTCTCCTTATGCACAAGAGTTGCAGGAGCCTTTCTTCAGTCTGAACGCATAGGAAGATCCGTGCTTGTTTCCTGCCAGAGTGAAGGGATCTCTGGTCAAGTGTATTCTCATCTGCTCTGACAAAAAAGATCTCAGCAGGGAGGGCTCCTCTCTAGAAAGTTATTAAAGCTGTTTGCAGTAGCACTGCTCTGAGGGTGAAGAGAACCCATGAAGCTAACAGGGTGACCACTGTGTCATGATGAACTTCTCATCCACAGAACAAAAGGATGGCCTCAGCCTCCCTCATCTCTCAGGAGAATAATTCTGCATTATTTGTATAGCTGGGGTGGAAAGCTCAGCCTAGTTGTGCGAGACTCTCTTGGGTTGCTGGGGCAAGGGGTGTGTGACCAATCCGAATCCCTTTCACCTTTGTGTGGCCTTCAAGAAAGCAGGCCATCTGACCTGAGGCTCAGCCAGGCAGGAAGGCTGTGCCATTCAGTGATGGCCAGTGCTACCTCTTCCTCTTTGAAGGAGGTGTGCAACTGGGGCTGTCTTATCTGTGGTACTGATTTGTCTCTCCTGCTGGATCCTGTACCCACCTCACTGTAGCCTCTTCAGGCCTGCGTCTGTATCCTCCAGGCACTGGTGCAGTGGGGACAAGGAAGCAGAACTGCACATCAGGTTCATGCCAGCTTGTGCAGATCCTTTCCTGCTTCAGTTTTGTAGATGTATTTTTACAGAAAGCATTCTTCTAGGGCACCACTCAGCCAGCCCATTTACAGGACAGGAGGGACTGAATTAGTGTGCTCAGCTCTGGGTGAACCAGCTGCACACAGGTCTGTCTCCTTCTCCATCCTGTGGTCTCCGGGCACCACCAGGGAGCAGGCTCAAAATCTTGGTGTCAGAGAAGACAATGGGAAGTTTACTGTGCTGTTGTCGTCAGTGAGGGATTTTTCCCTCACTGAATTATAGGATTCTGGTTTTGAAAATGGGATCAGCAGCAGGCGTGAAGAAGAGGGTCATTGGGATCTCAGCACTGTGGCCGCTCCCGTATGGGGAACACACCGAAAGGTCCAATTCTTGGTCTTCCTCCGAAGCCTGTGTAAAAGTGAAGAAGCCATATCACAGTCATCAGTGTGCTGCATGCTGCCCAGGTCTCTGCCTGGCTGCTTAGATGTGGACCCCAAAAGGGACTTCTGTACCTTCGTGACTTCACATGTTGTCAGCTCGGAGCAAAGGCTGGTTTAACATGTCTTTGTACAACAGGGCCTTGTGCATTGGGCACTAACTTGGAGGCTTCTGGCTGCTATTGTAATACACATAACTAATGGTAATAAAAATCTTAAGGCCTATTTGAGAATGAGTGAAGATTTGAATTAACGGAGAGAATCAAATATGTTATTATTTGCCCACACTCGTTTTTACAAAAATAAATCATTAATACAAAAACATTCCTGGATAGGCTTTTGTAACCTTCTTTAGATGTGGAATTGTTTTAACAAAATTCGGTATTACCATGGGAAAACGAGGAGCAGGCTTGTGCTCAAGTGTACCAGAGCAGCTGTTCATAACCCCATGAAAATCAGTATGGGGTTAAAGATCAATATGCACAAGAACTGCTGTTAATCTCAGTGTCTTGCTGCACGTTCAGACACAGATGATAAATTGCTCTGCAAGGGGACTGCACACGTGGCACTTCTACCTGCCCATTCCCTTCCTCCAGGTTTCTTACCATAGCAGTGGTACCTCAGCAACTGCACCGCTGTGTCTGTTACAAGAGGAAACCCTGCTGAAGGCTGCCTTTGTGCTCATCAGGTATTTTAGTAGAACTGGAGTTTTAGCCATTCAAATTAGCCTTAAAAACCATCCACAGTGTTGGAGAATTCCTTTCTGTCAGCACGTGCCAACGAACACGGTGAGCTGCTGCAAATTCTTTGTGTGGAAAAGATATTTCTGGAGCATGTAATATATGTGTTCTTCATAGACACTTAATTATAGCCACTGTAAAATGGAAGTGTATTTGACCACATTGCCTGAGGTTTTTGTGAGGAAGGCTGAACTGCTCTGAGCTTTACAAGTTGGTTTTCTCAGCCTCCTTCTGAATGGCTGTCACCCTTTTGAGTAGCCCAGGGATACTTTTGGTCCACTGGGGATCTTTCCCCCTGACCTGAAAGGCACACACTCCCCACAGCCTGCTCAGGGCAGCACTTTGCAGCACTCTCACTTGCAAATGTGGTCATGGGAGAGCTCTGCCAGCAGAGTTTGGTCTCATGGGGGATTCTCACCCACCGCTACCCCAGGATGCTGAATATTTGCCACATGCATTCATGCATCTCTTGGAAAATCAGACTGCTTGTGACCATAGTGGCCACCTGAATGCTCAGCACCAACAGCAATAAGCTTCATTTCAGAGTGAAAGATTGTCATGGGATGTTTTTCTCCTCTCCTCCTTTTCCTTTGTGCTGTCTTACTTTCTAGAATGAAGAGTGAGTTGTTTCTATACAATAAATTATTTCTCCCAGAGCCCTGCCATATGAGTTTACTCTGCCTCCGTGCTGCAGTGTCAATCACCTTGTTGAGTGGGAAGATTGGAATAGGGGAGGCACATTAGCACAGCTCCTTATAGTTCCAGTCTATCCAAACCATTTACATAGTAAAAAATGTTTCTTTACATCAGCAAAATGCTGTGAGGGACAAATCAAAGAGCAGCATTTCCCCCTCGAGCCAAGAGGAGGAACTGCTGCTGTTCAGATGGTATTGCTAATTGCATGTGGCGTCCCTTCTAGAGGAGATAATGCAGGAGAAAATCCTTTTTTCTTTTTTTCCTGTTCTTGGAGGTTTTTTCATACATTATTTCCTTTCCAGCTCCACTGTATATGGGGTGATTTACTTAAGCTGAGTAAATGTTGTTTTCAGTCTTTGTGACACCTTCACACCCATTCTACGAGGCAGTTTAGTGACTGGTGATGAGCAGTGTGCAGTTTTATTGCATTGGGAGCCTCTGCTGTCACCCAGTGATGGCACCCTCAGAAGTCGCACTATGAGGGTCCTCTCCTTAACAGCTGCCCCTTGCATTTCCCCTTGCTCTCTGTTCCAGAAGTCTGCTTGCCTGCTTTTGCCTTCTGTGGGGCATCAAAGCTGCTGGTGGCTACCAGTGTTGGTAGCATCTCCACAGCTGGACTGGCTGCCTCTCCGCTCTTGCCTTCAGGGCCCACCAGTGCTCCTCGCTGCACTGTCAAATATTTGCTGAGTCTGTGTAAAGTGGAGCATACGTGGGCCCAAACACAGGGAAATGCACTGCTACAGTTCTCCTGGCTCATGCATGAGGCAAGCATAGGGTGCAGCATCTCATCTGGGAGCCCTGTTGTGATGGACGAGAACCCAGAGCGTGTGACTGGATGTGTCTTAACACTGCCTTTTCTCCTTTTGGATAGCTGGCTGTGGCTTCTTTATTTTGGCTGAGGATTACCAGGTTCTTTATGTGCTTAACCACCTGGTTGATCTCCAGACATTGCACTAGCTTTTATTAGCATGAAAGTTGACCAGTCTGTTGTATCTGACATATCTACTGATGGCCTCAGTTCTAAGCGTTATCTGCAACAGATCATATGCAGAACTGCACCCAATTTCAAGGAAATTGCACCCAGTTTCTGGGAAATTGTTCCCAAGGAAAGCTGTTAAAGAGGCTGAAGAAGCTCAGGAGTGCCACGACCACTCATACAAACTGAGCATACCCAAGAGCTTGGCAGCACGTGTCTGAGGGGGCTTGGAGGACTGGACGATGTGACTGCAAAACCACGCTTCGACATTTGTAGCAGGGGAAGTCCCAGATGACTGGAAAAGGGCATGGGCATATATTACACCCATCAACAGCAAGTGCAAAGAAAGATTTGGAAAATTACAGATGAGTCAGCCTCACTTGAGTCCCTGGAAAAATTAAGGAGCAGATTCTCATAAAACTTATTTCCAAGAAGAAAACTGAGAGAAGCTAATACCTACCTCAGCTAACCCAGCCCTCTTCCACTGTCAGAATTCACCATTTGCTTTCTCATTGCTTCAAGAGAGGCCTGAGAGGCTGACTGTGCTCACGGAGATGAAGGCAAAGAAGGCCTGAAGAAAAACCTTCACGTTTTGTCATCTGTAATTAACCTGACTGCCTGTTCAGCAGCGGCCTGCCTTTTCCTATGTACTATGTATGTGTACTATGTGACAGTACACATACAGTAAGTCAGTACTTCCTTGCCACTCTTGACATCTCTTGGAGGTCTGGGCTCTGGCTGGGCTTCGGTCTGCATGCCTCGGCAGTACTTTTCTTGTTTCCTTTGAGCCTGTTCCCTCTTCCATACCTCTCACACTCCTTTCTGCAACTGAGCTCTCCCAGCAGCTCACTCTTCAACCATGCTGGTTTCTGTGCACATTTTGCCCTTCAGGGAGGCAGGGCAGGTGGCAGCACCACTTTGGCTTTTCCCCCCCCAGTGCTTTACACCAGGTACATCACCAGCCCACGTAGAGCTGCTCCCCTTTCCCTCGGGGAAGGAGCTCAGTGGCCAGCTGCTGGCTCAGGTTTCCAACTGCGCCTCTCAAAACAATCAGTGTCGAAAAACACCGTAGGCAGCTGCAGAAGAGACAAAATCACAAGGCAGCGCAGGAGGACCAATTGTTTCAGATGCAGAAACCAAGGCCCTAATAGGCTTTTCCTATTGATATGCACCAGATTTTAATGGCAGGCCATTTCAGTGAAGTCTCAGTTGTTCGAAGCTCCTTAAATGAGGATTTAGGAGGTGTTTTTCAGCACGCGGGCAAGACATTAAAGTTCCTAATTATTTAGTCTTTATGAAGCAGCTTGTTTCCTCTACTTTCTCTGCTTTTGATTCTTTCTAGCATTTATTTCTCTCTTTTAGTGTCCTGAAGTACAGAAGCTCCCGCTCCATGTGGGGAATACATAGCACTGTTTCCCTAAGGACATTTGCTTTTTGCATCATTTCAGTTCCTCGCTGGGCTTTTCGCAAGCTTAGTTGGTGATAAACGAGCCAGACAACAGATGGCAGAGCTCCCTCTGTTAACGTGGAAAGCGGTCCTTTACCAGGGGCGTCCACTTAAAAATGCAGCTGCCCGCTGGTGTGCAGCCAAACTTCCTCCTGAGAACGCCCTCTGAGAGCACTGCGGAGTGGGATGGATGCGAGTGGCTCTAATCATCTCCTCAGCAGGCTGCTGCTAAAGGCATCCTGCAGTGCAGCCCTGCTCTTTTCATCCTCACCCTGCAGAGCCGACAGCTCTGCCGGACGGGCAGCGCTTCACTGCATGTCAGAAGCTCATCCAGCTCATCATCTTCATTTAGCCAAATGGTCACGGCAAGGAGTTGTTTCTTTTGTCTGAAAGGATGTTGCATGGATAGCATAGAGAGATGCATGGAAATAAATCCGCTTCAGTGCTCGGGTTATGTGAGCCAGATCAGCCTGCCACATGTATGTGCTGCCATACTCTAAGGCTTTCCTTTCCAGAGCTGTCTTTTGTATCAGGTCTCACCTGGGTCCATTGCATTACGCTTTTGTCTGCTCTGTAATAAATATTGCAGCTGGTGCGTTTGAGGAATAATATTAGAAATCAGTTTAATATTCTTATTCTTTAGGGTGAGACTGAACATGGGAGAAACAGACTCAGGAATACTTTCCCACTGACTGTTTTTAGAAGCTTTAAAGATCTGAGAGCTCTTGGATCCTCATGTTTTGCTGAGATGTTACACTGACGGCGAGCACTGCCATGGTACCACCATTTTGCCCTCTTAAAGCCCTTTGCTGCTGCAGGAGGGCAGGACAGCTGTAAGCTAATGGTGTTACCGGATGAAACTCTCATGAGAGCCTTCTACCAGGCAGATGCACACTGTGCCCAGAACACAGCTGCTGCGGGGACCGTGGTGCTGCTGATGGTGGGCACAGCAAACAAACCCACCCACAGCAACCTCTTTAACCTGCAGCCGACTGTGTTTCAAACAGCAAAGCTGTGCTTGGCTTTGTCTTCTTTTTTCTTCTGGTTTTCTTTCCCTCTCCGAAGCACACCATTCCTGTTTTTGGTGTAGATAAGAAGGTCGTGGCAGTCAGTGCGGTGGTGACTCACCCTCATGTTTGAGCAATGTGATCAACGTGGAAGCACCGAAGTGACCATGCAGTGCGTGCTCCCCGCGGGCTGTGTGCATGGAACGCGTCGAAATGGGTTCTTGCTGCCCTGAGCAGCGGCAGCACCGTGTGAGCTGCGTGCCAGAGCAAAGACGTGCTGCTAGGAGGAAACAAAACCTCCATCTCTGCGATTTCAGTGTCATACACATCCTGTTCCCTCCCCCGGCGGCACCGGCACCGCTAGGTGGAGCCCTGGGGCAGCTCCTGCGCAGGAACGGTTTGGGTTGGCAGGGATCGCCTGGTCCCAACCCTGCTATAGGCAGGGTCACCTCCCTCCT